CCATCTCTCCCTGATGTCAGCTGTAAATATATGCAGAATCGCTGCTGATTGCCGGCAGCTGTGTGGTGATTCAGAATGGTATATCAGACAGTGGCTGGATCCTCAGTGGATCCTGCCAGCCAGATACCCGCCCTTGTGCCGCAAAGGGCTGTCGGCTCGTTTATCACTTGTTTTTTGGTGGTGTTATCCGTCCCATTAGTGTCACCTGCTGGAAAGGCAGGTACATCATTTCCTGACGGTTCATTACAGAAGCCCCTTTTATGTTTTATGATCTGTTCCTCTTTTGTTCTGTCTACATTGAATTTATCTTCATGCATATACAAGTAAGCAATGAGAAACTAGACTGACTTCAGAAAATAATGTCCAAGTGTTACCCTATATGTTCTCTGAACTTCTATATTCCTGCCACAGCTAAGAATAAAATTTCCATTGATGTATTATTTCTTCACGGCGGGAAGACTGCAGATTCTGCGCTTCATAAATCTTTTACAGGTTTTTTCTCTCTCTTGGCTAAATCAGAACCTCAGCCGTAATTCCTCAGCCCTGTGGATTTTGCCGAGCAAGTTTCTGCTGATGCACAATCAAGACGAACGGCGATGGTGGGTTAAGTGTACTTTGGTCCCAGACCAGTTTGTTGATTTCCTCATAGGGTGTAATCATTTCTGTCAATTTTGCATTTCACAGAGAAGCTGGAGAAAGGTGTGAGGCTTTGGAAGAGGGTCTGATAAATATGCCCCAGAATTCCCTGTTTTCCATTATTATTCCCCAGAATTCCTCCCGCGGATGATGCATCCATGTCACGTAGCTATACTTCTGTTAGGTGTCACATGTGATGGGTGCTACCACCATGTTCAGAACCACAGTGTCTACAGCTGTAAGCCCACTTATGTCCGGAGATGTGTGTGTTCAGAACCACAGGCTTAACGTGAGGTGCCGTGCACACTGGTGTACATCACAGGTTACTTGTTTTCACGTGGGAATTATTACCAGGAGGTGTTGGGGGGAAAAATTCATTTAAGTGCACAGATTGTGTCTGTGAAAGTAATAGGATGTGAACCACGAGGTCAGCAAAATAAGCGTCCCCAAAATAAATTCCTCCTGTAAGAGATTTAATTGCATCTAAGTAATGCGATAAGGGCTTCTCATTGGCCATGCAGAGGGCGCTCTACTGCTCACTCCAGCCAACACTCCACCAACTCCACAGGCAATCGATACTCACACTCAAGCAGAAATGCCTCACACTACGGAAGATTAACTCGCTGGGCGACTTCCACCAGTACGAGTAATGAATTTCAATAGCAGCCGGCGCTGAGTAAAGTAAGATGTAGCTGCCAGTGACTCCTCACGGAAATCGTTATACATCTCATCAAGCTGAGAAATCGCATTTTTCTACCATTTTTAACTGTGCCATTGCTTACCTGCTTATTGGGAATGAGATGCAGTTTGGGAGGATGACATACTGACCAGCAGGGGGTGTAGTAGATAAGGAAGAGTCCCCCCCCAGAGTGAAATGCTGTGGAAATGTCCTATGTCCCAGGGGGTGTTCTTGCCCCTTAATGTCCCACAGTACGAAGGATTTATGTGACTTTTGGCATGTGTGCATGTCTTTGTGTGATTATCAGGCTAAAACCAGGTGATTGGCTCGTTTAAAGAGGCTGGCTTGACCTGCTTTGTGTTAGGAGAGGGCTTTGGGTCTCTATGTGTATGAGAGCATTTCGCTGTACACATTCAGCTGCAGTAATGAGACTCTTTGGCTAATTGCATCATCCAGTGGCCACAGAACAGTTTGGGGATGACAACGTGACATGTTAGTGTCCCGTGAAGTTGACATGAAAGGAGGAGGATAATCAAAAATCATCAGCAGCCATTGCTGTGTTTCTGCTGGAAGAGGTCCAGTGGTCTGTGTGGATCCCAGTGCCCCAGTGCAGTGACGGGGACACTGTGACCAATCGGGCAGCCTATCCAGTGGTCTGTGTGGATCCCAGTGCCCCAGTGCAGTGACGGGGACACTGTGACCAATAGGGCAGCCCGTTCTGTGGTCTGTGTGGATCCCAGTGCCCCAGTGCAGTGAGGGGACACTGTGACCAATAGGGAAGCCCGTCCTGTGCTCTGTGTGGATCCTAATGCCCCAGTGCAGTGACGGGGACACTGTACTGTAAAAATGGTGCCGTCCTTCGGATGAGACATGAAACTGAGGTCCTGACCCTCTGAGGTAATAAAACATCCCTGGGCATCTTTCCCAGTAGGGGTGGTACCCTGATATCCCAGCTAAAATTGCCCACTGTGACCCTATCAAATCCGACCTCCTAATCATCCCCTCTATCTAACTGATGAATTCTCTCCTGCCCCTTCACCACCTTAGCGTACTTAGTGTGGTGAGTGTACTGGCGCATAATGGCTGCTGCCACATCACCCAGGTGGGGGCTACACAGTGGTGGTGGTTGAAGTGGCTCCCCATCGGCTCTGTGAAGCACTTTGTGTGTCGTAATATATATATAAATATATCATTCAAAGCTAACATGATCCTCTACACATCACTGCTGGAAAGAGATCAGGAACCACATCGAGGAGGTGTGGTAACAGGCCGGACCCCAGTACAGTCAAGAAAACGCATCCATGTTTAACATCAGGAGCATCACGCTCACCTGCGTATCTGAGAGTGAGAGCTGCATCACTCAACGCACAGCGCCAGGCCTGCCAGGGCAGTCTAAACCCCCCCCCAGCGACTTGGGGCCCAACGTGAAGGGTAGTGAAAAGCAGACAAGATGAGCTAATCAATCGTAAACGTGGAATTATCTCCCATGGAACGTCTGTGAGCTGTGTGGCAGGAGCTCCAGCTGAAAGTCATGTTAGAGGCAAGAAACATCCTCTCATAAGCTACCTGTCCTTGTGCAGCAGTGAACATAATCAGAACTTCATTTTTGTGGGTACAAGTAGGTCTGACAGTGTACAGGGTGTACAGGAGCCGTGTCAGGCTCTACCTGTATACCTCCTGTCATTTCGGGGCCCTTAGTGGTTGTTTCTCTTTGGACTCAGATGATTTTTTTTATCATACTAGCTACTCATGTCATGAGCATTTTCGAATGTAAACAGTTTAGAATGCATAATCATTTTAGAGTTCATAAATGATGTAGAATCTGTGGGTTTGTGATTTATATAATATTTTCCAAAAGCACTGGGTAGAGGGTATGCAGAGTAATTATTATACTGCAGCTATTGGGGCGGAACAGAGGCACATGCTTGTAGAAGCAGAGGTTCACGAGGTCGCACCCTGTGAAGGTGGGGGTTACTACAGGTGTTCCACTGGGTTTGGGCCGGGATTCGGCTCCAGTCAGGCTATGCCGTGCCGTGGGCCGGGCCGGGCCAGAGATAGCGGTCAGACGATTTCCAAACCGCCTTCCTCTTAGCTACTGAATGAAAACTTGAGCCAACCGGGGGGGCGATGGCAGGTGTCAAGCATGCTGGAATGGGGGGGGTGATCTTTAACAGGCAGCCCGAAAAAGAGGTGCTGAAATTCTGATGGCGGGCTGCTGTCAGCGGTTCTGACCGAGACGACCGTCATCTAACCAGCGCACAGACAGCTTCCTATAGTGGGCGTCAGGACACCGTGTACAAAATAATTTAAAACAAGTGTCCGACTGCGGTACCTGGAGAGGGTTTTCCATTCTACCCAGCATCTGATGAGCCACCCCTGTTCCTGGTAAATATCTATATAAAATGAATGACGGACATCCATGCAATCTGCCTTATGCAGCTTAAAAATAAACACAATCGACTGTGAAATTCAGTCTGAAGATATTTCAGGACCTAACTATACGCTAAAAGTCTGTCTGCATAAGGAAATGATGCAGATTTATCTGCACGATCACGGTAATAACTGCAGGCGTCCCGTAGCGCCCCCCCCCCCCGACAGGGCTTCGCAGCTCCAAAGTAAATCTGACGCGCTCCTGTTACCCGGCCCGGGGGATGAGTCACATGACGCTGCCGTCAGTAACGGCCGCAGTGCAGTAAAGATGGAGAAGCAAGGAAGCGGCAGCCGGCCGCAGGGCGGGGAAGACCTGTGACGCGGCGGCGATGAGGAGGCGTTCATTAAGACCTGGCTCCCGTCCCGGGTGGATTATAACGCGCCCCAAACCGACAGCCTGCTAATCTCATTGCTACATGTAAGACGTCTATTAGGCTGCCAAATAAAACATTGCTACAAATGTGTCGGCACATTAATAATTAACACATTTGCAATTACTATGATCACCATCATTATTATTGTTTATCATCATCATCATTATTATTATTATTATTATTATTAATAATAATAATTCTTGCCGTTGTTATTTATATTAGCCGAAAAAACATTGCTGGAAACGTGCGGGCAAATTCATAATTAACATAGTTGCAGTTAATATTATCATAATCATCCTCATCTTTAATATCACTATTATCGACCCCTCAGCTCATCCACAGAGCCTCTGCGGTGATGTCACTCGGGCCCCCGCACTCTCACACCCCAGGACACCATGTCATGACACGACCAGCAGGGACCCCCACAGCGAACATCTCAGTGGAATAAGGTCTGAAACGCTCCTCGAGAGAAGTCTGTCCTGGCACAAGTGCCGGTTTAAAAAAATTCATTATTTAAGAGTCAGCTCTCTATTCTGTTATACTCTCTGTGTTGCCATTGTCTCAAATGTATAGAAGGCAGATATATTTTTATCCTTTATTACATACCGAAAAAGTCATTTCTGCATTGGTGCCTCCATCCTTTTCATGCTGAAATGTAGAGTCCATCCACGGAGAGGAATGGAGACATACGTACACATTACACCGGCGGGCCCCGCATGTCGTTCAGCGCACGCTGTTTCTGAAAGACCCTCTCTGCTGCCCTTAACCTACAAAACAGTGTTTCAAAAGCAGATTGATTTCTTTTCCTTACCGGCACGTTCTAAGGGGAGTGCGTGCGAGTGTGTCATGGAAATAAAGAGAGCTGGTGAGGTACCAAAAAGCAGATGTATCAACGTCAGGGACAGACCCAAAAGCACAGCCGAGACAGAATAAATGTAATCAGTAATTAGTGATTTAGTAGAAGCTCCCCCCCCCCCCACTCTCCCGTTGACACCATTTTTCACTGTTGCCACGTCCCTAGTTGGCAAATTTTGCCCACCAGGAAACAGTAGTGCCCATCCAGTATACCCAAATACCCACTCCAGAACGCCATGCTGGTGAGGCCAATGGTCCATACCGAAAGACTGGGTTCAGAGTTGCTGGTCCCCCGGAACCGGCAGCCCTGTCCTCTGTCTCTCTGCCCAGGAGCCTCTGGCTTCCTGCCAGCTGATTTATCGATCCTGCCCACTGTTGCAGTGGCTTAATTGATTTTTAATACATTTGCCGTGGCATTACGCCAATGTAATAAAGTCTCTTACAGCTCTATAAAGGCAGAGCCCATACAGGGGGCTTCTGTGGATCAGCAAGGTGCAATTCTTAGCAGTTTCTTTGTGAGGCCGGGATGGACAGGGATCTCACCTGCGTGAATGACCAGCGCCATTAGCCGTGACACCATGGAGACGAGCGGGCCGCTGTGAGAGCTCAGCTTTTATTTCATGCTAACCTCGACTTCCTGCGAACCGCTTCAAAGCAAATCAGACGGCTGCTAATTCTCAAAGTCATTGTTGTTTAAGTGATTTCTTTAATTCAGACAAACACTTGTCTGTCATTAGCTGTCTAATTTAATCTCCCTGATAAGTGCTCAGAATAATAGCATCTGATATTGTGCGTGGAGCTTGCTGCTCTAATGGAAGAGTATGTAGCAGTAGAGGTTACGTAAGCGTGATCGGCACCCATCATTGACTTTGTCTGCAGTACAACAGCTACCATGACGTTGATTGAGAATGACAGGATGTAAATAAGGGCACAGCTGTGTTTCTGCAGCACCCCAAGGTCCGTTCAAGGCCCCGGTGACACCAAAACACCCGCGCCGTGCAATACGTGTCACCAGGAAAGCCCTGGAAAGAACGTGCCCCGTCCAGCGTGCCGCGGCGTCACAGACAGGCGTGTTTAGGCGGCTCCCGC